AAAAAAAAAAGACGCAAGAACTTTGTTGACAACCTAATACATGTAAAATCCATTCTTTTTCAGCATAAAGAAAATGAATTTTAATTGAATATTGTTTCAATCTTCTTGTTTATTTATTTGATTAAACAATTATGTATATAATAATGACAAGTTGGATATTGAATTTATGATACAAGATATAAATAAAATTTTGATATAGTTGTTTTATTTTGCTATAGATCATGATCACGTAAATTAAAGATAAAAACATTTATCAAGTTAATTACTAATAATAACTTATAAAATATGTTATCGATCTGTCATATATAGATACAAATGATCTTAATGAGTTGGACTGAACATTTTTTTGAATGAAAAACCATAGACTGATAGCAGTTTTCGTAGTTGATATATGTACTATAAAATTTTATTATTTCGAAAATATTTTCATTTAAAGAGAATCACTATCTTGTTAACTGAAAATACTACTTAACCGATTTCGATCGTGCTCATTTCATGCAGAGAAAATTATTACATATTTTGATTATAATTTTTAAAAAAAATCTCTAAATTCACCAACAATTATTTAGTGTATTGGTAGAAAGTTGAATGAAAAATCGTCGTACAAAAAAATTATGTTCAAAAGAAAACATATTTTTGAGAAATGCATCCCAGTAATTAAATTGCGATTACAATCAATTAGGAATTTGATAATCTTCTTGAATCTCAATTTCATTACCACCTTCATCAAATCTGAATCGATTTTGTAAATTTTTGTATAGGCAACAAAAAGCGAAACGAAAATTTATTATGTGTTAAAAAGGTATGTTGTTTAATTGAGTATATCAGTGGACAAAAATAATGATGACTATATCTTGTGACATTTTTTTTTAGTTTGTTGAATCTGTCATTCAAATGTTATCAATATTGATGGTTTCGTTTCTTTTTGCTTCAATTAAAAATAATTATTGTAACGACTAAATTAAATTAAGCTTGAATCGATTTATTGTTTTGAACGAAAAAAAAAACATTGGTAGAATATTTTGACTTATAAGGTTACTTTTTATGATGTACTTAGCTAGTGTCAATAACATTCTGTTGATCAACCTTGAATGATAAGCATCATATGAATTTATTATTCTTGATATTTGACATAGACATTTCTTTTTTTTTTTATATTCTTTCTCTTTAAAACATGATCGACTGCAAAAACTAAAATATTGTCCTGAGTTATTTTATCTATTTTCAAATTTAATTATTTCATAAATTCATTGAATGTCAATCGAATATTTTTCTATTGTTTTTTTTTGTACTATACAAAATGTTTTCATTGTAGATAATTGTTGAATTAAAAAATGTCATTAATAGAAAAATACAAATTATTGAAACGTGAAGGATCATCAATTGATCGTCGGAACTATATATTATCTTTAGTAGACAAAAGAGAAATAGAAACATTTTTAAAAAGATCATCTATTACATCTTATGATGATTTACAAATGTTGATATTTCTATCGAAATCAACAAAAAATCAAACGAATCTTTACGAAATCTTCAAAAATGATTCATTACTAGTTTGTCAACGTGCTGATGCTGCTAAAGCATGGCTTCGATTTCAACAAGATGAAAAACAAATTCATCAATTTGTAGTTGAAACAATGATGGATTTAAATATACCTCGACTGTATGTCTCTATTATTAGATAATTCAAAAAAAAGAAATGAAATATAGAAATATATTTTTAGTATAAAACATCAAATTCTTAAATGTCTTCATCATATTCATTATTTAAAAATATCTTCATCATTCTTTTATGATCTTGTTTGTCATTTAACTAAATTCTTTCATCATAATGAATTTAATATTGATGCTCATATATTACCATTTTGTTCATCAAATCAAATAATGAAACTTCTTTCTCAATGGTCATTAACACGTTATAGTCAAATTCATTTTTCATCATCATTTCATTCGAAATTAATTCGTTATCAACCTCTTATTATTATTTATTTAATTAAAGGTGATTTAATAGATAAATATACGAATTATGATGAATTACGAAATTATTTTCGTCAACATAAAAAATTATTAGAATTTTTAGCAAGAAAAGAATCTAAAGCAATGTGTCAATTAGCAATTGAATATGTTAATCAATTAGATAAACATAAAAGATTTTTACCAGGATTTATTATATCTGAAGAAAAACGAATGTTTGATAAAGCTCCAGATGAAATGATTCAATTGATAGCATTAGTTGCTTCTCATCAACCAGGTTTATTTAATAAAATTAACATAAATTTTTAGATTTACACTTTTTCATCTTTTTAGGTATAATTAAATACGAATCACCATGGGATTATTCAGGCATTGAACTTTCTGTTCTTAATTTTCCTCGTTCATTTTCAATAGGTAATTATATTCGTCTCTTTTTTATATTATATGATACATGTAAATGGTCTCTAAATGATATACACAATCTCGTTTCCTATATGTTAATTAATGATGTAAGATCAAAAAAAGTGTCAATACTTCGTCAACAACGCAAATGGTTTTTTGATATTGTTGTTGAAAAACGTATTGGTAAAGAAGAATTTCTAAATAAATTATTAAGCACTAATATAGAAATTTCTTTACATGTATTAAGTGATTATACTGAATTACGTATACCATTAGTTCGACATTTAGTTGAACGATATGATCAATCTGATATAATGAGTCCTGAACAACGTGCATCTTTTCTTCGTTATGAATTAATGAATTCAGAAATTTTCAATCAATTTTTATCACTTTTTCAACAATCTGGTTCAGATGCTAATTCAAGAAAACGAATGTATTCATTTTTTCTTCAATGTGCTATTTCAACAGATCAAAAAAGTGTAAATAATGCTCTTCAATGGATGAAAAAACGTTTTATAAATGAACAATTGAGTGTTATTGAATATTTTCTACGAAATTTATCTCAATATAATGAACAATTTCATTTAGAATATTTACCAGATAATTTCAACATAATCGAAGAAATTATGGATATTGCTTTTAATCATTTACAAAAAACATTAACTACAGTAGAAACAATACTTGCATATGGATTTTCATTGTTGATTCTAGCAGAACATTACCAAAATAAACAACAACAAGAAAAAGTACAAGAATTTGCAAGCAAGATTATTAAACGGTAACGCAAAAAAAAAAGAATTAGAATACAAAACAAATTACTTACGAGGGAACCGCCCGAAGTGATTCACCGCTTTTGATCTGATGTTTTGTCTATAACTAGGATCAGATGAGACTAGAACACTTTCAAAAGAATACGGGCCCATGGACCTTCCTTGCAGAGTTATAGCTATTTTACTGAGTTTCGCTTCATGCAAGGTATGTACCAAAAAAACAATTTGATGACAAAATTGCGATCTGACATTCTACCCATGTATAGCTCTCAAGATCTTTAGAACATCCTAAAGGTTTCAGCAGAAAAGGATGTTACTTTCCAGAGGTAATGAATCTACAAAAAATACTTTTATTTCGCAGAATGGTCAGAAAAACCGAGTTTTCTTGTATTTTCATTATCTCTGGAAGGGAGCATCCGTTTGCACTGAAACTTTTATGATATTCTAAAGACCTTGAGAGCTATACATGCGTAGAATGTTAGGTCGAAACTTCGTCATCGAATTGTTTTTGGTACATACCTTGCATGAAGCGAAACTCAGTAAAACAGCTATAACTCTACAAGGAAGGTCCATGGGTTCGTATTCTTTTGAAAGTGTTCTATTCTCATCTGATCCTAGTTATAGACAAAACATCAAATCAAAAGCGATGAATCACTTTAGGTGGTTTCCCTATTTATTCGAGGTCAACAAGTTCAGTTCTATTCTGAAACTGAATTGTTCGAACAATTTAATTTTAAAGCAGAACATTTCTCGGAACGAATAAAGAATTCCATGCTATTTTGAATAGATTACTTTAAACAAATGAACTGTTATAATAGTTCTTTCGTTCATTGTGTCTAGTGTAGCCTACACATTATTATTGATTGATAAATTTTGCAAAAATAATATTATGTATATTCAATTTTTTAGATATTATTCTGTGAATGCTAATTTTCCTGATGATAATGTATTATTATATCGATCATTTCCAATAGCACGTAATCTTTTTGCAAATATTTTAATATCACATATATTTCCGAAATTAATTTCAAAATGTTTAATAATTGAAATAAATAATTTATTATTGAAACATTTCGACAATGTTTGGCGTCTGACTCAAATTGATTCTTTTCTTTATTCATTCTTTTTTGAACATTTACGTTATTCAACACAATTACAATCTGCATTTGATATTAATGAACATTCTTTTCTTATTTCATTGTTACTCAAACCAAAATCAACTCGATTAGAACGTATTCATCAATTATTAAATGATATTGATCAAATATTTTTCTTTCATATTGATGTTCAACGTATTATTTTATATTCTCAACAATATCGACAGTTCATTGATAAACTTCTAGAAGATGAAAAATGTGTTGATGTCAATAAACTTTCGAACAAACAAACCAATTTAAATTCAAATATACAAAATAAAAAACTACCTGGATTCAATATAAATATATCAATTAAGTATTATTATCAATTGACAGGACAACAACAAGAACGTATAACAAAAATCATATTGAATGATTATCTTCAGGTGATTAATTTAATTTTGTCCGAGGTAATCAAAAAACAAGAAAAGATTTATTTATTTTTGCTAGGATACAGATGTAACTAATCTTGAAAAATTGAAATCATTACATGTTCTTAATCGTTTATCTCATACATATCATTATACAATTGAATGGATTGAGAAAAATGAGAATCTTTTCTCGTCAGTAGTAACTAATGCTTCTTCATGTAATAATGCTGGTCGTGGTGCAAATATTCAAGCAATTAATAATTATATTTTATCTTTACCAGCTATTTTTGATCTATCTTCACAAGATTTACATAAAGAATTCCATCGGCTTAAAGAGAAATTGAATGCATCGAATACTACAATTATTCGGAATGCTTTATTAAATATTTCACAAAAAGTAACTGATCAATATTTTTTACAGCATTTTATTGAATTCATTCATAGTGAACATTTTTCAAAATTGGGTAAATAAATTTGAATCTAATAATAAATAATAGTTTTCAGCTATTTTTCTTTCTTCATTAATTAGGTATTACAACGAACAAAGCAATGCTACGTTTATTGGTTGAATATCGTTATAATTCAATGTTGATAACATCAGTTTTAAAACCTTTATGGGATAGTCGACCTCATCCAGATATTCGTACTTGTCTTGTCAAAGTTCTACTCGATTTTATTAATGAGTCGAATATAAAGGATGAAAAATCAGTAGTTTGGTTAATTCTTGAACAAGCTGCACATGATGACTATGATCCTGTAGTATTAGCTCTATTTGGTGCAAATGATAAAGGAATTTGTCGATCATCAATCGGACTAAAAGATTCATCTACTAATCTTGTTCAGATTTTTGTTCAACGAGTTCAAATAAAAATTTTAGATCATCCAACATCATTGACAGCACGTATATGGGCTTGGCCTTTACTTGACAGCCAATATTGTAATATGAACATAGTCATAGAAAAAGCTCGACAACTATGTATTCATTTTGATAAAAATGCAAATATTTTATGGAAAAAAGCTTTCGAAAAAATATTAGCAATTTATAAAGTAAAAAGGTAAAAGACTTTGTTGGGTTAAAAACCTTGTGCTTTGTGAAACATGATCTAGAAAGAGTGTTGCAATGTACAAATAAAAATTCAGACCTATTCTTTCTCCCACAGGATGTCTCATGTCAGTGATTTCGATGCCAAAATCCGTAAATTTCGAGCAGATTTCCATTGAAAAGTTCAAAAAATGGTAGAGGCTTAGAAGTCGAAGCCTACTGTCTGGATTTTTCTAAGAATAAAGCAATCTGCGAATACTGTAACAACAGTAACTAGATCATGTTTCAGATAAGAATCATGCAGGAATTTGGTTAAACGCTTTTTCTTTTAGAATATCAGCTAATGATATTATAAATTTTATTCAATCAATCATAGATTACGAAAAGAAGTTAGATTATTCAAACGAAAATAATCTTCATGATCAAAGTGATTTACGAATTTATTGTCGCATTAATGAACTTTTAGAAATTTTCATTTCTTCAATTGGTGAGATTGATCAACAAGAACGACAATGTTTTCATTCTTTGGCTTTATCAATTCTTCAATGTCAAGTAACAAGAGCTCCTTTAATTGGAAAATTCCTAATGAAAATGGCTCAAAACAAAGAAGATCTCGAAGAAATACTAATTATTTTTCAACAATATTTATCTTCTGTCTATTTTGAACATACACTTCTTAAATTAGCATCGTATCTTGGTGATAATGATGGCTCTTGTCCTTTCGTACAACAATTGAGTATAGATGAAAAATTTCATCTCGCTCTATGGTTTATCAATGAAAGGAATCAACCATTGTTTGTTTTTGATCTACTGAAAAATCAACTATTTAATAAAACAAGTATTGATAAACAACAATGTCAAGTTCTTCTTCGTCAAATGAGACAAAGTTCGAATTTACTTTTACGTCAGCAAGTACTTGAATATGTAATACCTTGGAAACAAGATGGAACTCTCAATATTGATGACACATAATTAAATGTTTTATGATTCAAATAGACTACTATTCAACATAATAAGAATCAGATAAATGTTGATTTTTTTTTCGGTGATGCCGATTACCTACCAGAGATCCAAATAGTCATTTAGAATGATCAATAAAGTTCTCTATCTAATGCATCATATACTATATATTTTTTTATAATCTTGAGAAGAAAAGACAAATCTTTCTATAGCAGTGATTTGCACGAAAAAAGATGTCCATCATGAACAAGAATATTAGCGTAATGCTTTGTTTTTGTCCATGTTGATAATGGCATGATTGTCATTTCAATTATGTTTGTAAGGTAGTATGATGAAATACTTCCTTTCTTCACTACATTATAATATACTACTAATGAAATCTATTCATCATGAATTACACTTGAATTTCACCAAAGAAATGCTTAAAAACTGGGAAGGGTGTGGGTGTTATTCTCTTGTATTTGACCTCATACTCACACCCCATCCGTTTTTACTTTCTCTTGATGTCATAATTGATGTGAATCTGAATATTAAAAAATAAAGTATTTGTATTCTTTCGAATATATTACTTATCTTTCATATCATAATCGATGTAAACATAAATATAAAAAATAAAAAAGTATTTTTTTTTTCTAATGCATTATCTATATGAGATATCATGATTCATATGAAACTCGACGTATATTGTAGCTTACAATCATAAACACCATGGGTTCCCAACGGACATTCTTTTTTCGGGAAGATGAGACTTTTGTTAGAAGAAGCCAACTGCATAATAAAGAATGTTTCAATTAAAAAAAAAATGTTTATGAATGCCAAAACTACTATACTGTTACACAGAACCGACTTCAACACAGTGATAAGAATCATGCCTCTCGGAAATTGAAAATGAGTAAAAAAAGGACTCAGAAAAGAAAACAGATTAATACCTTTTTTTGAAAAAAAATTATGAAACAACAATCTTTCACTAAAAGAAGAGTGAGATGTATAATGAAAAAGTCTAGCTTGTTTCCTCATTGTTGCTTATTTTGTATTTTCACCGTCGTTTTCGACTAGTAGCTCTGCTTTTCTTCGCATGAATGTTCACGATCATGTAGCTGACGTGCATTTGTTTTATGAGTAATTTATTGATCAATTAACATTACTCAAGATGCCAACACTTGAATCTCATTATCCATCTGATGATTGTTATTTGGTTCATACATAACGGATAAAAAAGTGAGTGTAGGAGAAGATACTTATCTTATTCACCAACATCCACCCACATCAAAACACCCTACAATTATTTGTTGTCGTTTAATGTTAAAATATACATTCACAATGAAACAAGTATGAAATTTTCAGTAATAAGTAACCCCAGTGGGAAAAGTTTCTGATAAAAATTTCAGCTCGATGCATCAAACTAGAGCAAACTTTCGACTTCTTTATATTCAATTTATGATATTTAGGACAATCCCTATAATTTCATCAATAACCACTTTTAGAAAGTATTGACAGCAATGCTTCACGAGACTAAATCTCACTTTTCTATTTAGTTAGATCTTGCATCGGATGAGAGAAACTATATCATCGAAAGTAGTTCAGTTTTGACAATTAATCAGTGATTTTGTAATAAACTTCAGAATGCAATTTTTTCAATTATATCGTTTCATACGAAAAGAAACTCTCCTTCAGCTTACTGTAAGACATTAAAACGTCACTCTCACTACTATTGGACTGACCTAAGTAGTTTATTTTAATTAGTAACCAGATATCATAGTGCTGAGCAAGACGACATAATGCTCGGCAAAATGATGTAAGGGTGTGCATGTGGAAAAATTGAAAATCCTCACGAAAAACAACATCTACAACCTGCATCTGAAACCCCCACTCACGTCGATACACTACGCTCATACTTCCACTACACCGACACCCTGATGCCATCTTGTTGAGCATTATAATGTCTTGCTCAGTACTACGATATCTAGTAAATAATTAAGATAAACTAGATTACTGATGAGGGCATTGAAACATGAGCCAAAATTCCGTTCTTCCGGTACACAAAGATACAGAAGACCACAAAAAAATAATAATAATTCAATAAAATGACTCACTACAAGCAAAACGATGGAATAAGAGAAAATAACATGCTATATAGACTTATTTTATCGACTATTTGTGCCAATTTAATCCTTTGAGGATGGTTTTTTTTCTGTATATTTCATCATAAATCAATCAACATTTCTATTTTCTAAAAGAACTTTATAAAAACGTGTGTTCAGAAATTTTTTAAAGTATGATATAGCTCAAAACAAGGTACAACACATAGTCCAACATTACATTCAACACACTCATAAGTTGTTTTAGTTTCTTTCTTTGAAGCTGTTGTTGTATTATAGCAGATATGGCATTTTCCTCTCCTTCTTCTTTCAGATGTATGTTCAGTTGACTAATCTTGAATGAGTGAGGGAAAATGTCGAGCAGTGAGTCTCATTGGATTTTCTAAAGGTGGTCTTCCTTTTTTTTTCATTCTTTTGACTTCCAATAGATTCTGTAATAGATCGAATCACTTCCAATCGAAAATTCAACAAGTGCATTGTTTTTCCGATCCCCAACCTGTATAAAATGAAGGCATTGTACAAAATCACATCGAGCAGATGAAAGAAAAACTTTTTATACCATTTTATAGTTTTCCATACGCACTCCAAGAAGCTAATCTATATGTCCGATTTGTCTGTTGTTCCCATATTTTTATTGTATTCTTAGATGCAAATCGGTTTCATTATCGGTTCGTTAGTGATGTGGTCAAGTTTGCCTGTAGGTATCATGCTTGGTTCGTGAATAGTTGAAAGCATGTGAACATCACGGCGATCTTTCCGTTTCAATACTAGGAGTTTGTCTGTGTATCTAAACACTTTTTCGTATTGCTTTAGTTTGGCTGATTTCAAATGATTTCCTATAAAATTCAATAATAGAAATTTCAGCAAAACTTCTGAATTTTATAAACTGCCTATATTTTTCAGAAATGCGATCATAAAATATTTCATACAGTATTTTATTGGTTGAATCTTGGATAAAAGAATACTACATGAGATTTGTGTTATCGGACTCTCAAAAAATTCCGATACCATCTAGACTCTGAGAGCATTGTCGAAATTCCAAAAGTTCTATTTCTATTATATCTTTTGGATCAGTTAAATCTATTCGATCAGATCTTACAGTGCCACAAGCACCAGTTTTCATAGAATGTAACATTTCAACTAGAACAGAAGAATGTATACCAGTTATCGACATATAAATTGTGATCTTTTTCTAAATAATTTTCCATTAATTTCATAACAAGAGATCCAGGTACACCTAGCCTCTTGTCATGATGAATAGTTGTGATGGATCCAATGTAAAGAATGAAGTCTAATATATAACAGTGTTAGAATCACATAGAATATAAAGCTTGACACCGAATCTATGCCGTTTTGAAGGAATATATTGCTTGAAATTAAGTTTATCCTTCCATAACATAAGACTCTCATCGATTGCCAAGTTCTGATAAGAATTGAGACAAAGGTGAGATTTCATCTTCGAATTATTAATGATAGGCTTCACTTTGAACAATCTACCTTCAGCTGTGTAGTTATCGTTGTTATTGAAATGTATGTATCTGAGCAATGCTAAATATCTGTCTCTTGAAAAAATGTGGCTGAAAACAGGAGTCAATACTAATTCATCAGTTGACCAATAATCTTTTATTTTATGTTCTTTTACATGAGTCATTAGAAGAGTTATAGCCAAAAATACATATATATCACCAATATTTGTATCCATCCAACAGGCAGCATGTGGTAAAGTATTTTTAGAATTTTGTAGACAATATCAATTTGTTTCTGTTACAATTATATCAATCAGAGTTTGATCAAAATAGAATTGAAAAAAATCTAGTGGAATCGGAAGTTGATGATTCATCAAATACTATGTCAAACCAGATTCGCTTGAATCAAAATGAAACAAATGAGGCTTGAAATTGCCAGTAGATCATACTGAAGAAGGTACATTTTGATTTCGTATTGTTCGACGATTACTCGCAGAAAAATTGATAGAAGTTTCTTCAGGTGCATCTACTTCCATATCCTCATAATTATCTTCTTCTTCATCATCACCTTCAATTTCAGCCTCTCTTTCAGAAGCAGAATCAGTCAAAATTCCTTGAATTTCACAATCACTTAATATTTGACGTCGGGTAGCCATTCTAAAGAATTCTGGCGCTTTAACGATTCTACATCAAACTAACTTGTCTTATTTTCTATGATTTCGGAGAAATAATCGATAGATTTTATTAATTGTAAATCAGATGATGATTGTTCCTATATACTCTAAGTGAATGTCGTAACCACATCATATATATATATATATATATACAAAAACTATAGGTGAAAGAAATACTTACGAAAAATTGTGAGAGAGGATGACAAACGACCACGGAAAAGAAGCAAAACAGAAAAAAAAACTGTATCTTATAATACAAGTAACATAATGTCTGCATGTTCGTGCATGTCAACAGAAAGAAAGAAAAGATAAATGCAATTCTGCATATCTATGACGTCATACCACCACAGTAGAAGACAAAAGGCAAGAAGAAAAAAGAATACGCATGTAGAACATCATCTAACATGTCTCTATATAGAGAGCAACGTTGCTGACAAGGATTCTAGATTATAGGGTTTTTTTCTCTGAAAGTCAGTTTTGTTGTATTTATTATCCATTACTAGATATCTGAATAAAATAACCTAATTACAATCCAAATTATACTAAAAAACTCTCTGATAAATGCTTTAACAAAAGCTAATCTCATATAGGAATCTGCGTGTTTTTAAATACCAGAGAATCACCATGGTCCCTTAAGGGATCAACCATCCTCAAAGAGCTAAAAAATCTAATTATCTATTATTGTCGTTATACATCACGTTTGTATCCTTTTCTATATTACTCTATATTGATATTATTTCATTAGATATGCGGATAGAAAAATATTTGACTATTAAAGCAAAGAAAAAACAGAAACAATAAGACATAAAGAGAAATGAGAATGATTTGTCAGTGTAATATATACATATGAATACCGAAAATCATTGATGCAAATCTGCTACGATAAAAAAAAGAACGAAAAAAAAAGGCATTAGTTGTTCTTTTCATTATTTATTTATATAAATACATCGATCGGCAAACTCGAACGATATTCACTAAAATAGCCGACCATTTGGTGTAGCTATTCTATTTAGTTCTATGATATTTGATCGTATTTCAATAAATATAGTGTCTCTTCTAGACGCTTGCATCAACGACGCAAGATATCATGAATAATGCCAATGATAATATTCAGAAAGAGTTATCATCCCCTGAAACACCTCTTTATCCACTATCAACAGTAAATCCAAATGAGTTTTATAATATTATTCAACAACAATATGGTGGTATGTGGGGAAAATTTAAATTTGAAGATTCTCGTGGTGATTATTCTGGTGAGGTAAGTAAATTTTGATTTTGTAGATTGAATATATATATGAAGTGAACATTTTCTTTTTGAAGTTGTTTTCAAAAATATATTTTAGTTATTTATTTTATTGATAAATGATTTGATTTTTCTAGGGTCGATCATTTCTTTATATTGATGGTAATATTGATTTAACTATTCTAAGTCAATTCATGGCCAATGAATGGAAATTACAAGCACCAAATTTAGTTATATCTATTCTAAGTGCAACTTCCCGTTATAGACTATCTAAAAATATTACAATGGTTGAAGCATTAAAAACTGGCATAAGAAATGTAAGTGGATTATTCATATAAGTATATTAAACTATTTGCATTGTTTTATCTCTCAAGCCATAGATTGCCAAGAGTAAATCTAAAATTACTTTTGAAAAGAATAACAAGAAAATAAAAACAATATTCTTTCATAGACAATGGACAATTTTTTACTATATCAAAGTATTGGTCAAAAATTTAGCAAACATATATTTTTGATTTTTGTCTCTAGAAAATGAAGGATCGCTGCATTTTCTATGAGCTAACCTTAAAAAAGTTATAAACATCACAAAAAGACGTTTAGAAGTATTCTTCAGTCGATTAGGTGCTTTTTTTTTCAAGTTTGTGATATTTATAACTTTTTAAGGTAAGGTCATAGGAATATACGATAGCCGTTTATTTTTCAAGATTTTGTGCTGTTTAAGATAGTATTCTTAGAGACTAATTTTTACACAATCTCTCATAGTGCATCTATGATATTTCGGTATGGTATGTATTTAGTAGAGAATATCTTTGGCTATTCAAACTATTGTAGAAAAAAGAAAACCAAAAATACGCTGGCATTCTTTTTTTTTTAATCTGTATTGTAAAATAAACATTTTAAAGCTCTCTTGTTAAAAAGCTATACGAGTTGTTTGATGTTATTTTTTTTAATTTTCAAATTTTTTTCATTTTATATTTGATTCCAAGCTAAAAGTTGTGTATCTGAAAAATGACTACTTATCATTTATTGATATTAATTAGAGAGATTTTTCGAGAATCTTTGTTTTACACATTACAAACGCAAAATAATCTAACAGCATTAATTCACTAATGTTATATAAATAGATAATAGTTATGTTAAATTTGAGAATATTAACTAATTTCTAAAGATGAAAAATAAAACCAGTCACATTTTTATTAAATCATTTCTTTGTCTACATGACAACGAACAATATCTAAATAAATGAAACTTAGAATTCTTCCATAAAATATAAAGTTTTTGTACAAGTTTCTTTTTTTATTTTTGAAAACAGTTCTATATATTTCGAACAAAATACAACTTAAAATATTGATTAATTTAGACTGTAAATGCCACAGAAATATGGTTTATAACAAATGGTCTTGAGCTTGGTATGTCACAATTAATTGGATCTGCTTTTCGAGATGAAATTGTATGAAAATTCTTTGAAAGATTTAAAACATTTTTTTTTTATGTTTTCTTTTTATTTAAACATAGTCATTCAGACAAACTGATGATGCATGGGCAATACAGATGGGTCGTGATCCAAAAAAACGTAAAAAATTAATTTTAATTGGAATTGTTTGCGATGATGAAATTAAAGATTTTATTGATTTCAAAGGAGCACAAGAGGAACCAAAACAGGTTTGAGAAAATTTTATTTTATCGTTCTATTTTAATTTTCAATAGGATGTAAAAGTAGCAATGCGTAAACGTGATCAAATGTCATTAAACGCTGATCATACACATTTTATTATAATTCGTGAACAACCAATTGATTTCAAATCAATAAATGATTCAGCAAAAAACAATGCTATCATTGATAATGATGTAAAACAGTTAGAAAAACTAACTGATTCAGCTGACAGTGCTACAAATAAATTTCGTGATCGTTTTGAAAATTTTTTATATCAAGAAAAAAGCACATCTCCCGTTGAATCATCACAACCAATAACAACTGGTAAAAATAAAGTTTATATAGAAAAAAAAATTTCATTTATTTTGTTTAGATACTGCAGCAGTAACATCGATTAAATCTAATCCATGGGGTGACGATGGTTTTCCAATGGTATGTATATTAGTTCGTGGTAAACCAGGAACAATTGAATGTGCATATCGAAAAATTCAAAATGAAGTTCCTATCATAGTTCTTAAAGGAACTGGATTAGCTGCTGATATTATTTCATTTGCTTATGAAGAAATTTGTGCTAAGTAAAATAAAAAAAAGAAAAACAAAAGATTGATTTCAAAATACAAAATTTTATTTTAAACCTCGTTTAGAATGGAAAAAGAACATAATGACAATCAGTTCAAAGCTGACTTAGCTCGACGTATACTCGAGGATTATCCTTTATTAAGATCTAACGATGTTAAACGAAATGAAATTCGTAATTTTATTATGTCAATTGCGTCAATTGTTCAAAAAAATGAGCAAAAAAACAGAAAATTTTTAACATTTATTAATATCAATAAAGCAACAGAATCATTAAATGATTTTCATAAATTTATCCTTTTAGCACTTTTACAATGTATAACACATATACTTATTCTTTTTTGTTTTTATTCTTATTTTTATTTTTAATTTAGCACAAAAACCAATAACTGGCAATAAAGTTCTTGCTCAATTAAAACGAAATCTTTTATTAACACTTGATTGGAATACACCAGATTTAGCTTCATCAGAAATTTTTCAACGTGATGATAGTATACAATATTCTATTCAACCAGATTTATTTGATAAAGCTATACTTGGAAAAAAACTTGAAGCTTTTGTTGATTTATTTCTTAATCAAAATTTTGTTTTACATCGATATTTAAAATCAGACAGATTAATTTCTTTATTCAATAATGCAAAAGATAAAGAATTTTTCAAAACAACATCAATTGACGGAATTCTTGGTCAGAGAGGAGTAAGCATGAGAGAGTGAGGTTTTTTTTTTTTTATATTTACGTTTTGTTAAACAGGATGATGGTGAACTGAAAAAAGCATTTTTTGAAAAGTGTCTCAATAATGTTGTTAAGCATTTAACGGGTATAAACCATTTTTTTAATGAACATGAAATGGATTGTAATGCATTTGGAATTTATTTTGGTGATAAATCAGAAAATGATGCTCAACGACAAAGAATGCGAGCAGAAAGAAAAGTAAAGTTTCTTTGTTTCTTTTTTTTTGTTCAGTGTTTTCAAAGAATTTTGTTTAAAATAGGCTCTTCGATATTTAGTTATTTATGCTGTATTAATGAATCGACATCAGTTAGCAAAAATTCTTTGGAAACGTTCATTTGAACCAATTCCATTAGCATTAATTTGTGATATGATGTATACAAAATTAGTACCATATTGTCCAGAAGTTTATCAAAGAACATTAATCGAAAAACAAGCAAAGTAAATTTTGAAGAAAAATTTTTTTGTTCATTTTTTGTCTTAAATGAAATTTCTCTCTTTTTTTTTTGTATTTATTTTAGAGAATTTTCCGATTGTGCTTTAGGTGTCCTTGATAAAGCATTCAATGAAGATAGTACGAGAACATTTGAAATGCTTGATGCAAAACATCCGGTAAAAATTTTCCACAAAAGATTCATAAAAGATAAAATATTTTTTCAATCAAGGATTGGAGTCATATGGCAACTATTGAATTAGCTTATAATGCAGACAATAAAGATTTTGTGGCACATGCTGCTTGTCAAAAATGGGTTACAAGACAATTTTATGGAGAAATTAC